TTTTTCACCGAGCCACGTCTCCGTATTCATCAAAATAAGACAATCTGAATGAACTGCTGAGTTGGCGGCTTACCCAGACTTTTTGAGCATTTAACAGACTAAATGCCTTGCAATTTTTAAGAGCAAACGTCAGAAAGGACGGATGGAAGTTACAAATTCCGATCAAGTGTCCGTAAATTTCCTCTCCTACGTTAAGGAGGTAACGTTTGAAAAGGTAATCTGCAACTGTCCACAGGGAAACCTGGACCCCCGCCCCCATTCTTAAAAGTAGCGCAAATGTCAATTTGTCGAGGATATCCTTGCACTCTGTGTTTATTCTGTCCAGTACACCGCAACCCAAATTTCTCCTCAACTTAGGTAAATAAAGGCGAACAAAAGAAATCTATTATCAGCAGCAAAATGGTCGTAATCGCCATACAAGGGCAGGCGTTGCATTTAGAAAAAAACTATAACCCAAAAAATCTGGCAAATACCTTCAGCATTCCGCATTTTGCCCAAATTAAGCCTCGTCTTAATCCTTTCTTCACCCACTTTGTCTATCCTTTGCCATGTAGACAATGCTGACTGAACATGCGTTTCCTCATAGATTATCCACTTCTGGGGCAATGCTTAACAGAATCCCCAAAGTCACATAAACCAGGGATTTCTCTGGCCTAAAAATGCAATAAGGCAGTAAGTGGTCGTTTAATCGTGGTAACTTTATTTGAGTTTACAGCGCGTACCAGAGCGTTCGATGAAGGACTGCTTTCATGTCTCAAGTTGGGTCTCCTGAATCCGGATATCCTGCATACAACAGTATGCATGACACCCTAAGCTCACTCCGGGAATCAAAATGCGTCAATTCTTAAACAGATGGATACTAGGTTAATTGTCCCTAATTGATCTTCCTCGGGACTTAGCTGAGCTCAGGGGGTAAACAAGTGCACGGCATTTCACTTGAAGCCACTCAAAACGCGCTTGCTGGCAATTATGGCGCAATCTGCAATCAATGCCTGCGTGAGATGCGCGTTCCTAATGTTGGACTTTTGCCGCATATATAAAGCCAGTTAGATGCAACAGACCCCTAGACAGCTTATATTTCAAATCAGGTGAGATGTGGTCCTATATTTGTTTGCCTGTGGAAGCCTTTAAACATGCATTTTTATAACTTTAAGAGTACTCGCTCTTATGCAATATATGCATACGTTCGTTTTAGTGCCAATGATCAGAGCCGCTATCCTCCTTGCTCTTATAACCTCCGTGTTCGGTATGTGCAGTATTGAAATAAGCTTCAAGTTTTAATTACTAAATCGCATTGTTACATAATGTTTGAACTTCACTGCAAGAACTTCGAGCTATGTTTTAGGAGCTGAGGACTTTGAAACAATGCCGAATTCGTCATTTGTCTATCTCGAACCGTTTGCACAAAGACCGCAAGTGCGTTTCAGCTCATATAAAATTTTTAGCGAAGGGCCTCCTTGTACATGCAATGACATACTTCTTTCATTATAGTCAATTACAGTAGGGGGTCAGACTGTTGCAGAGGGCTCCCTGTCCAATCCTTGTGAGGTTGGAATCTCGTGTTGGCAACCGTTAACTGGTATGTCCCTGCTAATGCAGGCATTGGAGTTTTCTAAATACTGATGGGACTTGTCAAAGTCTAAGTCGGACATGCGATTTCTCGTTGTGTCAGTTCTTTGCGCAAAACACACAGCACGTTGGGCTAAATATTTATCAGAGTACTGTTCTTCTCATTTAGACAAACAGTTTTCATATCTTTCGGTCGGACCAGAGAATGGGACAGGCATAATTATTTTAATTCCAGCCGCCGGAAGTAGACTACCCACTGCAGTCATTGTGAGGCATATTGGTGAAAATTTGCAGGGTATGATTTAATTATTTATAATTTGCTTATTTAAATACTAAGAATGGTGCTGTCATATTAATTATGCGGGTTTTCAACAATATTACCATTTAAACAGTAAAAAATAATATTAAGTAATGTTTGATACCGTGAAAGCGTTGCATTTTTGTGACACGTATGTTGCCCTGTAAGCTGATGCACAGCCATTGGATTCACAAACGGTGGCCAACCACAATATCTGCATAGGCAATAGTAAACTGACAACAAGACATAAGCCAGCAATTGCCCTTTCCGCCCTGCAAGGTTTCAGTGCGTGAAGTAGATTACCTGTCTCATGCAATAACTACCGACGATTTGAAATGCGTTTTCATTTTAAAAAGTACATAAGCAGTGTTGTCACATTAATTATCCTGCCGCACATACCGTAGTCATTCCACTCACGCCAGAATATCGGCTTCCGATAGAATTTTTTAATTACAGTCTGCATAAGGTGCATTCTGTTAAAAATGCTAATGCGAGAAGCCTGCACTATTTTCTCAGATTTTTCATGCTGTCATAAAGCAACATATACTTCGCAGTATGCGTGCATAAAAGTATCATTCTTTCACTCAATTGAGAAAGTACGTGTTCTCCTAATTTTGTGCAAAAAAGAGTATCTTTTGGTTTTTAAGAACTACTGTTCACCGAATAATTTTGAACCCGACTTGTCTATTTCATTTGCATTCTGAGTTTCGAAAGTGCAGGCTGTATAGTTTCCGCTTGAGGAAAATTTTATATTTCTAGATATTGTCAAGACGAATTCATATAGAGTGCACATAGTTGGCTGTCAATGACGACTATGTTGTCCTTGGTTTTACGATGTTGTGTGATATTGAATTTCACGATGATAATAAATCTAATATTTCTAAACTTTTCTAAACTTTTCTAAAGCCGGAATACGCAGTTTTTTAAGTTGAGAATGTTGAGGAGACAGTGTTTTCTAATAAATTGGCAGAAGAGAAAATGTTTTGTGCATGCCTTCTACAAAAGTATATTTAAACTTACAAAGGCATCAACTTTTTGACAGAAGCATTATGCCACATATGTAGTAATTTTTGTGGAATGTAGTTTATGCAGACTGTCCATAAGAGGCTCTGTCAACAAGCGCTATCCACACTTGACAGTAATATGCTAAAAATATGTGGCACAGGAATTAATTTGACAAGTCCACTTGAGGAATCTTCTCAAACTGGGGACGACTTTCAGATTTTCAATTTATATATGATGAGATGGCACAGCCGTTGTAGATCAAATTCCAAGGAACACAAACATTCTTTCAATAACTTAGGCCAACCTACTGGCATTCCATCTAAATCGAAACTACGGAGTAAATTTCAAGTTTAATAATTTTAATTGAAACTAAAATCCATCAAAACTACTATCTATGCAGTTCCGCCCATGCCAGTCGTCGCTGGAAGGATCATAAACCTTGACATAAACACCACAGCGGAACGTGGGATAATTCTTCTGTATAACGAGGACGTAAAGGTTTGTAAAGACTTTTTTAAGCATATAATTGCGGTATTGACAGTGGCTCGCTATATATTTACAATCTTTATTTTGCATATCTCGTGGTTTTACAGGACACTATTGTTGGAGGACATATTCACAAATCTAACGACGTAGGACCGCCAGACGGCAAACACTTGTTGCATATACCTTACCGTAAGTGGAACTTGAAACCATACGAAATTATATGCAACAAAAAGACGTCATTTTTCGTATAAGTGTTTCACATTGCAAGGATCCACAAGAATTGTGCTTTCCGGCTATTCGGTGTATAAAATAGTGCGCGTTCTACTTCGGGCAATTGTAGTCACAGAGGACGGCAACTAACCGAATATTTTGAGAGCAACATGCAACAGAAGCGTATAATAATCTTCAGGAATTAAGAGTGGAAAACGGCAACTAGGTAACAAATAGGCATTCCATTAGCCTATGCATAGAAAAGCTACCGGTGCCAAACTCCTGAGTAAATTGTAAATTACTCATGCTGATGTCTGTCTCCATGGTTCCAAATAAAACAAATGAGGGAGAAGCTTATTTGTAATTGCAGATCGCTTCATACAACTTGCAGCGTTAGACTCATAATTAAAATCCATTTTAACAATGATAATATGCCAAATGTTTTGCACACTGGCAGTTGAGGAAGCAACGAAAGGACGCACCTTTGTCCTGCTGACGGGACACCTGGACAATACAACTTTGGAATACACACTCAAACTTAACGCAAGTACCTCTGACCTGGTTAGGGTGGTGCCAGTTGAAGGGCGGTCTACTCCAAGGGTGTTCCGTGTCTCCCTTAGCGGGGAGTCGTCTCTCCACTTCTGTAGAGTCCTAATATTCACCTACTTAGTCATCTCGTTTTTCTCCATCGTTTGAAAGACATTTTTTTGAAGAAAAGCAATAAAAGTCTTATGGTCTTCGTTTGTTCTCAGGAAAAGCTAACCGCAGGGTATGGCCTGAGTTCATTACTAATATGTGCACTCCTTCTTATCCAGACTGTTTGACAGTATGGACGTAGGCATTTCGATGTGGATGTTGCAGGCGTTTTGGCTGGATAGTAGACGCAGTTTCCGTCATATATTGAAAAGTTGAAGTTCTTTCCTAAAGTTAACCTCGGAGAAGGATGAAAGAAATTAGAAGCTTTTAGGCGAATACAACAGAAATGTCACATTCAGGAAGAAAAAGTCGCGAGAGTTTTATCAACTGAGAAAAAGCAGATACAGGGTAGATCGCAATTGTGGTCGACTAGGGCTCACATTTCGGGGGTCCAGGTAGCGTCTAAGTTGGTAGTGCACTCAGACCGCAGCAATAATCATGAACAGGCGTTGTTTTAGAGGGTCGACGAGGAAATACACCAGTAGAAGAAGTGGTTTGTTACTTACAGTAGCCCAATACTGACCACAGACCCAGGCCGTAGCCAGACACTGATTTTGCCCATGTGGCTGGTACGTGGTTGTGGATGTCTGTAATTGGCTGGTGCAGAGGATGCATACTCGCGCGTTTTGTGATAACATGATTCCCGGCTCGGTGTGGTTGTAAGAGTTGAAAGGCTTGTGGCACTACATTCACCGAGCGACACTGAAGAACAAACCCGCATGTTTGTCAAGTCGACTGAGAACTCTGGAGACCGAAGCGGATTCATAAACTGTTCGATGGATGTATCCGTAGCTACAGGGCGTGACCGATCTCATGAAATGTTGGCTGGAATTTTGGAATGCGTTTCCGATTAGGAAGGATTACTTGGGTCAGATTACAATACTGATCAGTAATGCGGCATAATTCTACAGATCTTCGGACTTGCCTGAAAGTCGGATTTCGAATACATTTTTGCCTGACCTACTGCAAAATGCACAGTGGACTAAAAATAAATACTTAATTAGCATGTATTTTTTCCATTGATTTTTGATGTTTCTATAAATTCAAATATATTTTACAGAAAACATGCAAAAAGATATGCTTTTTTATTTGTTTGGAAGATAATTACATTGCCTTCTTATTTTATACTCGAAGGAAGTGTGTATTTAAGTTTTAAGTATGCCAATATTATTGTCCGCTTCTGTTCTTAACTCCGTCTCCAATTGCGTCTGTGCGGAAAGGCAGAGCACAGAGTATAGCCTGCGTTAATTACTAATATATGCGTCCCCCCTTGCCTAAACGGTTCCACTGTATAAATATAAGCGTTCTGCCGAGGGTGGTGAAGTAACAATGGCTGGATATCCGATGTTACTTTTTTCACACATTGACGAGTTTCAGTCGTTTCCTAGATGAAAGTGGTGGGAAACCATTAGGGCAATAAAACAGAAATGTCATATTTAAGAGATAAAAATAGTTGCAAGGGTTCACTCAAGGATCTAAAACAAATGCAAACTTATCCCTAATTGTAGCCGACTAGGTCTCACGGTTTGAGAATCCACGTAGTGTCCAAGTAGTCAGTGTACTCAATGGCCACATTAGTCGTGAAAGAGTTTTGTTTAGAGGGTGGAAAGGGAAGGGCACTAGTGGAAGAAGTGCTGTATTCTCTACAGATGCACAATATTGGTCACAGATCCGGCCCGCCTCGGGCACCGGGTATACTAGCGTGGCTATACGTCGGGATGACGTCGGCGTGAGTGAATAAACATGATGCGCGAGCAAGTCAGCCTCAGCTTAGTCAGTTGATCGTGCGCGTCAGTGATTGGTTGACCCCGAGACCGGATACGCGCCTGTTTCGTGATCACATGATTCCCAGCTCAGTGTGCTTTAGAGAGACAGAAGACTAAAGGCGCTACATCCGCTGACCGACCCTGACAAACAAAGTCCCACGTTTGGCAAGTCGACGGAGAACCCTGGAAACCGAAGCGGATTCACAAACAGCTTAAGGATATCCGTAGCTAAGTGACGCCAAAATAGACTCGCGGTCGCAAAGTTCCCTTCATACACAAGCAACACTTGTGAAATGTCATGAGAATGCGTTGGAAAGTGTGTAGCACACTAAACGTACCATAGCTGAGCCAAATCATGAAATGCCATGAAGTTACACAAGAAAATCCCTATAACGCGGAATACGCCTAACCTGCGTTCCTCAAAATGCTACGGCTGTAAAAAAAAGACTTTTCTTAAAAAGAGGACATAGTTGGGGTTATCGGTTAATATATACTAACGTAAAAATAATTAATTTTCACTGAAGAAGTAAAATTGCAGAAAATCGCCATATTACAAGTCGCTTAGATGGGGCTAATTTTAAGAGTGCGCAATGAAGGGGGAAGCAGAAAATGGCAAAAATTAGTGAAAATAAATGACACCAACTATTCGAATTGTTCTCACTTTCTGCAATCCTTATGTTGAAAGGATATCATTTTCTCGATTTTTGCACTGTCAACACATTTCAGTTTACTTCCATAGCATTTAAACACTAAGTATAATGATGATTTATCGGGAGCAAACCAAAGCTCTCTGAAAACACCTCTGAATACTCCATGCGACATTGTGAAGTAATCCAATTATCTGTGTTGTGTAACCCCGGAGATAAACCTTGGCAAATTTTCGTTCGATTGCTTACAACGCATGATCAGATTTTTTGTTCGAAGGGTTTGGCACTCGCAAGCAATCCAAAGGAAATTTCTCGCGGATTACCTTTATTTCTCCAAAATATGGCGAAACCTCCAGCATAGCGTTTAGTAGCAGCCAAAGCTGAGTGTAAGCGGGCTGATACAACCCATTGATTTCGTTAACACGTCAAACGACAGTTAAGTCATGCTAGTGACATGCTAGCATGGGTGAAAGGAGTTAAGACTGTTTTCATAGGTTTCCTCCTTTCTTCTGACCCTAGATGATAATTAAAGAGAAAATCAAACCGTAAAACTGGCCAGGGAACCAAAGTGTGATTACCGGCAAAATAACTGAAAAGGTGTATTCCTACGGTCTACGGCCTATCAGCTTATCTTTAATCAATTCCGGCTACTGCCAATGCGCTTACTGCAAAAACAAGTGTATTGTGTTTACTCCCATACAACTAAAAATAAGTCGTGTGCTAATCGCTATATAGCATTTATTCCCGAATTCACAACGTAGCTCAAATTCTAGTTTTTGACATCTATGCAAAACCATCAGTAAACTTCAAATTAGTTATACGTTTCTTAAACTTATTTGAAAGACATTAAGTTAAGGGAATAAGAATATCCTTCCTGAACTTCCAATGTGAATACGAAGAATTATAATAATCAGGTGTTAAGGCAGTAATTATGGAAACCCCATAGACATCAGTATTTTTAAGCCCAGCGAATAAGGCATGTATTTGGCGCGATGCGCTCCGATAGGACCGGCGATGGGAAACCTTCGTTCTTCGGGAGGACTCTACGTATTCGCAGTTCCGGTTTCTGTACAGGTGTCTCGACAATAATGTGTTACCGAAATGTGTTTCATACAAGCCACCGGTTAACACGGATTTGGCGAGACGAGCAGTATTTCAGCACGGCAGAAGGATGATCCGAGTGCTCCTCCAAGATTGCCACGCGAGACTTCGTAAGTACCGTCAAAGGATTGACCAAGAAAAGACCAGATGTTGTGAGTTCATGGGCTAGATCGGTACAAATCTGCTCCTGCAGAGGGTGACTGAATAATCCCGCGAATAGAGAATAATACGCGACGCAGCACTGGAGAACAAATTCCGAAAGCTGCCCAATCCAACTTCTCCCATAAAGGACAAACTGGTGCACAATCTGTCGTCAAAGGAGCTAACGAAGGATCAGATGCAGGTTTTAAGGCACGAAGCTTCCTTCAACACGACTGACGCCAAACCTGTCAACATGATTGCAGCAGTGGGAGTAATCCTTTATCAGACGGAGGCAACGGAGGAGACTAAAAGCCTCATGCGACACCAAGTGTCGTCTCTCCTGATGGCCCACAGGCCGCGTGAAGTGCTTTACAAGGTCGAACGTGATGCGCTAAGAGAACTCAAGGCCGGCAAGGACCTGGTCATCGTGCCAGCGGACAAGGGGCGCTCCACGGTTGTACTGGACAGGACAAACTACCTTCAAAAAGTCAAAGGTTTTCTGGAGGACCGACAGTTCTATGTTCCATGTGCAGGGAACCCTTTTAAAGCGCTGACACCCGAAATTAGTGCTACGTTATTGGTATTGGATAACTCAGGGACAATAACAACGACCGACAGGCGCGTGGCGAGACCCCACGATACGACTTTGGCCCGATTCTATGGCCTCCCTAAGGTGCACAAAGACGGCGCTCCCCTCCGGCCCATCGTGTCGCTCAAAGGGACTCCAACGTACGGACTGGTTAAGTGGCTGTTCCGGCGGCTCAAGTTCCTGACAGCTGAGTCAGACACCACGGTCTCATCGTCAACACAGTTCCTGGAGAAACTCAAATGGGTAAGCCTCCATCCAAATGAGGTCATGGTATCTTTTGATGTTACATCCACTCTTTACTTATTTTCACCAGGACCTAACGATCGAGACAATCGAGCTGTCTCTACAAAGCAAATAAGATGAAACGGAGAATCGTCTTGGACACGCCCAAATCCTTCACCTCCTGAAGCTCTGTCTCAGGACGTACTTCACGTTCGACGGGACAATCTACGAACTGCTGAAGGGCACACCGATGGGTTCGCCGATTTTGAGATTCATCGCCGAGGCGGTCCTGCAACGGTTAGAGTCGCTGATCTTCCAACACCACAGACCCAAGTTCTGGGCCCGATATGTGGATGATAACTTCGTCGTCTTCGAACGGAATCAGGTGTTGACATTCCAAGAACATCTCAACGCCGTCTTCCCGGACATTCAGTTCACGATGAAAGAGAAAGAGGACAACCAGCTGGCCTTCCTGCATGTCCTCGTATGCCGCAAAGATTGTGGTAAACTAAAGACCAAAACGTTTAGGAAAGCGACAACTACGATGCAAGTACTGAACTTCAACAATAACCACCCAATCAGCCACAATCGCAGTTATGTAAGGACGGTTTGTCAGCGTGTCGAAACGCACTGCAGTGAGCCGGAACACAAGATTGCCGAACTACAATACTTCCGACGCGTATCCAAAGCCAATGGCTACCTGCGCAACTTTGTCAACCGGTGATCACGCTTGAGTGACGAAAGGCCTAACCACACGGACACCAAATCTTGTCGGATGCTTCCGTATGTCAAGAATTCCTCAGTAGCTGTCGGCCGCCTTGCACCACTTGGGGTTGAAGTTGCACACAGACCGGAGGCAACCATCAGGTGTCTGTTAATGAAACCGAAAGACCCGCTGCCACGGCTAGAAACGTCTGGAGTCGTTTATCGGATCAAGCGCAGTTGCGGACAACGCAACTACGTCGGAGAAACCGAGAGACAGCTCCGATCGAGAATGGCCGAACACGCTGCAGCGGTGCGGAGAAGTGACGCCAACTCTCACGTTGCGGCTCATTTGACGAGATTCGGCCACACATTCAAATTCGACAATGCCGAAATTCCCGCAAGAGGTGATAACCGCGTGAGTCGCGACACTTTTAGGAAGTTTTAAGATCGTGAAATGCCTGCACATCAACCATTGTGCTTCCGGATTTACTGATGTTGCCTGTAAAGCCTAGAATGCGACTAAAATCCACTGCTGACTTTTCTGAGTCCCATTTGGTCTCCTTTTAATGGCATATTGAAGAGTATGATTTTCTATATATCTTATAGTTCGGAAGCAGTAAAGGCAGGCGTTACGGGACTTCGGGCACAAATTTTTTCAGGACCGAATTATACCCTCGTTTCAAGTATAGAATTTGAAAAAATACGTATTTGTCCACCAACTGATTGACGAAATGAATATTGCTATATCTGTTTTCTGCGAAGTAGGATAACATCTATATGAGCAAGCCCAGAGGCTGTTTTGGTTCATATCTAAGAAACAACAACGCCGGTCGATTGTCAGATCTTCAGGCTATTGCTTCGTATTCATAGCCAGACATACCACCTGTCCTCAGTGTTAAGTTATGTAAGCATGCAGTTAGAATTGTGATCTGAGTAATGTTAGCCTTATTGATGATGATGATGATGATGATGATGATGATGATGATGATGATGATGATGATGATGATGATGATGATGATGATGATGATGATGATGATGATGATGATGATGATGATGATGATGATGATGATGATGATGATGATGATGATGATACAAATGATATCACTGTAACAGGAAGTTTGTCGGCCTGACTTTTCGAAATTTCACTGGAACGCATACTCACCAAACGCCCATGATAATGGGTTCAACTGAGAATACGAAAAGTCAGGCCAATAAACTTCTTGTTTTAGTGATCTGCTCTTTTTTTATAGAAACAACCAGTTGCAGAATGCCGGTCGCCGATGCGCCTTGACCTGTTCTTGGTCTCAGTCTCAGTCTCCATCGGAGTTTGCTTCCCTGGCGCTTCATTCCATTTATCCAAGATCTGTGTCACCTCATGTCGTGGGATAATCGCTCTTCTCCCCAACAAGCATACAGAATTTCGTCCAAATAAATAAGAAATAGTCTGAGCGTTTGAAAAATTGAACAAAGAACAAACGAATCACAACCCGTTCAGCAGGATGCGTCCAGAATTCAGGGATGGATAGAGACTGCCGATGGAAGCGAACAGGTGAGTTCCAGGAAGCAGTTTAGCATAAAAAGAAGATAAATATGAGATCACTGGGACAAGATGTTTACTGGTCTGACGCTTCGAATTTCCACTCGAACGCATGATTTGCAAACGCCCCTGAAAATGAGTTCAAGTGAAAATCCGAAACGTCACGCCAGTGATCTCCTCTTCGTTTTATAGAAAGAAACTGTTACAGAATTGTCGGACACCGATGCACCCCCGGTCCGGCTGTTGACCGACTGACTAGACCAACTCGGTCCTTTGGAATGCTTATGTTGTCTGTCGTACATTCCTTGACAGAGGATAAACCGGTTAGTTGGACGCATAACCCGGCTTAAATATATGCATTTCCGACAAGGACAAAGAAGACTGGAATGACCATTTCGAGCTAATTAACTGTCCTAAGCCGGCCATACCAAATCCCCGGTATGGGCCACATGAGATTCGAACTCAGTATCTTCAGTCATTGAGTCGAACGCCCAATCAATGAGCCAGGGGCTCGCTGCTCTGTTGAAGACTCTTGTAACTTTTAACGCATCGGGGTTTGCTCAAATGGATGATGCCTTTTATTCTAAATCTGAGTTCTAGACAGACGGAAAATTGTCGTACGCGCCCCTCCGAATTTCTAGATGCGGAATTTTGGGCAACTGCTTGATTTGCTGTCTGCAAGTTATGCTCGAATTGGGAGCTTAATTTCTCGTCAAACACGGAGGGCATTCAGTAGCCAACGCGCATATCCTCGTAACGTGAAAAATGATTTGCGAGTAGGACCTTCAGGCTAGCTCGTTATTCACTCTGAGTTATTTAAAAGCAGTAAGTCAACACCTATTGAAATTACAGTGTTTCAACGCCACGAGGATGTTTCGTAACTTACAAAACTCTAGTGAGGGTTTAAATGGACATAAAACCTTACGAGGCGTTTTCGCAGGGAAATAACCAGGGTGCTGATCAGTGACTGCCACCTGCGATTACTAACCGATGAGTTTAAACCCACCCTTTAAGCCAGGAAGTCATCTTCATACCAGTGACGAATAGATCCATCAATATTATTCCTTCCATGAAAATAGAAGCAATCTTGGAATTAACTTTGGACAAGGATATAGCAGTGCTGACAGTTGACTAGAGAAGAAAACTTTCATGGTGAACCGCGTGAATAACAACGGGAAGGCAGAAGCCCTCCACTAGGATCAACAGTCCCACTAGACCACACATTGCTCACAAGCCAAATAAATGATCGGTCAGTTCACCGGACTCCTGAACTGTGATACTGCTAGTCGAATGACAACAGATGAATCCAACGGATGAGGCATTGACTGAGTTTTTTAGATTGCCTAAAATTAACAAGCCCTACATTCTCCGTCTGCCAATCGTTGCTTTGAAAGCGGCCCTTCTTTTAGTTTATCCGAATGTAGGAGTCCCATGTCTAAAATTATCCGAGATGGCTTGTAACCGGGAAAAAATAAGATGATAATGAGATTACAAGAAAAAGATGTTTATTGGCCTTGCGTTTCGAATTCTCTCACTTGAACGCATCATCTGCAAACGCCACTGATATCGGATTCAAGTATGAAAACTATTATAATGAGTTACAATTCGCCCATGAGAACGGACGCAATGAAGGAATTTAATTTAGAAAGCGATGTGGTAGTGCTACTAGCCAACTAGAAAAGAACAACTGTCGTGGCGAACCGCGCCAATTACAGCAGGAAGACAGCAGCCCTCCACTAGGTCTCACTAGCCCACGACTTCCTCACAAGCCAAATCGATGCTCGGTCAGCTAACCGGACTCCTGAACCTACTCAGTCGCCGCACTGCGATACTGCTAGTGAAATGGCAACAGATGAATCCAACGAATGTGACATTGACTGGGTTCTATGAATTGCCTAAGATCAACAAGCCCCACATCCTTCTTCGGCCCAACATTTCCTTGAAAGGTGGTTTCCATCTTAGTTTATCCTAATTCAGGATCCCAATTTTGAAGATTTTTCGAGCTGGCTGGAGGACGTACATAAATTTGGCCTCCCAATTACTGGCTGCCAACCGAGGAAAATCTGTCCGAGCTAATGGCATTATGGGACCCTTCGAAGTGGTTTTGCTATTTATATCTATCACACCAAATTAGGCACGTGACATTCTACGCAAACGGTTCGAAGAAAACTACGACAAAAAGGCGAGGCCTCTACAAATCGACCATTTACTGCCTTTTGTCAGCGAACACTTTGAGACCGTGAAATGCCCTTTCCTAAGGCATCCTGTTTCTGCATGTAGTAATGTTGCTTGTATACGACTCAAATTCACTGCTGATTTTTGTGAACCCATATAGTCTCTTCTATTGGCGTGTAGAACGGATTGATTATCCATAAGGGGAACTATTCAGCTTGTGGTTTGAAAACTCTGAATGCATGTGTGAGGACAGGTCGGATTAAAATTTACACGGGTATAAGCAAGCTTTTTTTCAAAACCGAATTAAAATTATAAAGTCGATTTCACAAGAAGCAATAAAATTATCTGTGATTTTTTAATAGAGGACGCCAAGCTGTCGAACGACAACGTTTACTACGCATCCCAAGCGATCCGACGGAAATTTCTCCAAGATTACCTGGATCTCATGAAAATATGGGGAAACCTTCAACACGGCGTGAACTGTGTGTAACCAGGCTACGTTAGCCCATTGATTATGCCAGCTCGACAAACGACGGTTAAGTCATACTGGTCACATGTATGTGAGCATATAATGCAATTGAGTACAGTTGATTTAGGGCTGTCTTCGTGGCTCACCCGTCTGCCCCTAACCCTGGATGTAAGTCACATTTTAGGAGAACTCATACCTCGAATCTCTCTAGAGGACTAAAATGAGGTTGCTGCCTAGACAGTTGTGAACTGGTCGGAAAATTATAAATGCGATCAGATTAAGTTATGCACTGGGTTTCGCCAAAGTGCCCAAACAACATTTACTCGCAGCGCCGTTCGGCGGAGAGAAGAACAAATAGACGACTGCCAAGACAACCACTTACCACCATTCTTGGCCGCGACACTTTTAGGAAGTTTGAAGATCGTGAAATACCTGTACATCAACCATCGTGCTTCTGGATTTTCTGATGTTGCCTGTAATGCCTATAATGTGACTCAAATCCTCTCCTGCATGTTGCGAGACCCATTCGGTTTTCTTTTATAGCGTATAGAAGTGTATGATTTTCCATATGGCTTATAGTTCAGAATATGTGAAAGCACGCGTAACGGGACTTCGGGCACACATTTTTAGAACCGAATTATACCCACTTTTCAAGTATAATTTTTTTTAAAAAGACGTATTTGTCCACCAAATGATTGAAGAAATGAATATTTCTATATCTGTTTTCTGCGAAGTAGGATAACATCTATATGAGCAAGCCCAGACATAATCGTGATTTATCACGAGCAAGCCAACGCCCTGCAAGTACACCGCTGCAAATCCCATGTGAACTTTGTGCGACTTTATAAAAACAATTAAATTATCTCTGTTGTGTTACTAGGGCACGACAAGCAGTTGAACAACAGCGTTAACTACGCATCGCAAGCAATCCGACGGAAATTTCGCCAAGATTACCTAGATCTCATGAAAATACAGGGAAACCTTTAACACGACAGGAACTGTGTGTAACCAGGTTACGTTAACCCTACGGCGGTTGAGTCACACTAGTCACATGTGAGCATATGGTGCAAAGGTGTACATTTGAGTTAGGGTTGTTTTCCTGGCTGCCCACCCCCTACCTCTAACCCTGGATGCAAGTCACATTGGAGGAAAAATCATACTTTGAATTTCTCCAGGCAACGAAAAGGAGGCTGATGTCAAAACAGTTGTGAACTGGTATCCCTATAGCTTATTAATTTGCCAACTTCTGCCAATTACACATGCGCTTACTGCAAAAATACAGTAATTGCGTTTATTTTGATAGGACTCAATATACATTTTGTGTTCACCTCTGCAGAACATTTATTCCCACTCCAATTCTAGTTTTGTCGTTCATGCAAAAATATTAGTTAACTCCCAGGTTGATTGTAGTTTGAATTTCGTTCTTGAACATCTTATGCAAAAAAATAATAAAACCATATGCATATATGAAAAGTTAATGTAAAAAGCTTTTGCAGTAGTAATTGTCGAAAGCGTAAAGCCGCTATTATGCATGAACCTAGCAAAAACAGTTAAACGTAATGCAGTGCGTGACGTAATGTAAGCAATTAACTGACGGTAACTGAGATGAAAAATTTCAGACACTGGAAACGTTCTGCATTTTGATCAGTCGTTCAATCCCATCCTATAAATGTCTTTTTCTCGTGCAGAAAATATATCCAGGCAATTATATCCAGTGACATAATTGTAAACTTGGGTAGACATAGACGTCGCAATAAATTCTGGCATTTTGTAGGCTAATTCATGGCCGACGCTCCGTCTGCGCATCTGAGCACGTGCAATTTAAGCAGGCGATTAGTTTACCCTGGAAAATTGTTTTTTTTTGTCTGACGCCAAACGTGGTAATAAAGTTTCAAGTCCGCTGGTTAGTTTAAGAGAATCGCACATTTTACCGATTTTTAAAAGTCAGA